CAAGTCCCTTGAATTCGGTCAATTGCTCCAGTCAAAAGCTGCTGTCACAAGTGAGGCTGCCTGAAGCAAGTAAAAAGTTTTGAATTGTTACAGTTATAAAAATGAACAGATTTTTATAAAGTCCACTTTTGCCCCCTGCCTCTTTGGTACATATGCCAGTATTTGAACTTTTCTCTCTGAAGAATTTAAAATAGAAAACGAACACATATTCATCATAATTTGACATTTTGGAGGTTAGTGCTGCATGCAAATGAAAAGATTAGCAAAGTTCCTGAGATATACTATTTATTTACAGAAAGTTTCCGTTCAAAAAAAGAAAAAGGTGATTAAAGAATAAGCTAATTCCCTTTCTCCTAATAGACTTTCATTTTAATTTACTTACATGCATGTTTTCAATGCCAAATTGTCTTTTACAGCCACATGTATTTCTATTCCCTTCAAAAATCACATTTTTAAAAATTTGCTTATCTGAGTATATTGCCAGTGTCTTTTACATTTTGTTATGTCTTTGGAGACACAGAAATAAAAGCATGTGCATGCTACCAGTGATGGAAAATAATTTCAACCCGTTGTTATTTGCATTAAAATATAATTGTTCACTTTGTCTACACACAAGTTTAGTATGTCCTGTTTGGTAGGGGCAAATGAATACTTTTATTTAGCTATTCACAGGAGTTTGTGTGCTGCTCAGCAAAGACAAATGAACAATGAGAAGTAAAAAATAGCACGTTCCTCGACCTTAGATCAGTATTACACTGAATTCATGGCACAAATATGCTTTAATTGGCGATGATGCTGGTTCTCTGGTGTACAATAAAACTCACCTAAGGTAACCTCTGTGTTATGGTGCACCTCCAATTGCAAAGCTATTGAACAGATTCATCTTTTTATCAGCTTAGTAACTTCGCATTATCAAGTTCAAACATAAATCTTTGGAGAAAGACTAAAGCACGTGACTTTGCAAGTTAAGAAAACCCCTTCTAGAATATGAGAACAAGACATCCTTTAGGAAACTGGAATTTGTTTGGCAACAAATTGGCAACATTGTGAGAGCAATGCAAGTAAGCACCTTTTCAAGTGCTCTCGAGGGCTACCCAAGCAGAGCTGTGCAGGCACATCTCCATTAGTGCAATAGCTGTTAAAGCATGGATTTTGAAGCGTCAGTTATGACTAGAATTAGATGTACGGAAAAACAGACACCTACACACATTTACGGAGTCACAGGACTGCGGCCACGCTTTGAAACAGAGACCTGGGGGTTCCCAGCGGAGACCAGGGCGCTGCGGCCGCCTCTCGTCTCCCGCCCAGGGCTGCGAGACGCAGGACGAGAAGAAACAGAGGGACGGAGAGATCCAAGAGGAGAGCAGGGCGGGAACCCACTCAAGCGGACAGACACCCACTGATGACTAAGCTGCTCTGGCTGGTTCCCCCTGAGCCGGCCAGCGAGGCGCGTTGTCCCGCAGCATCCTTCCAGGGCTTCCCTCATGACTCATGCCGCAGGGAGCATTCCCCGAAAACGAGCACGCCCCCGGACGGGGCTTCCGCAGAGGCTCCCGAGGCACTTTTGAAACACTTCAGCAGGACCAGGAAACAGCTGGTGCCCAATGTGGCTGAGGTGCCGGTGCTGGCCGGAGAAAGGCTCCGGGGAAGGAGGGAGGGAGCGGGACCATGCCTCCTTTTTAGCCGGCACCCCCGGCAGCCTGGCCGCCAATGCCCGCGGCAGACTGGCCCCCGACGTCCCTCTCATACCGATACCCTGTGCCCAGGGCAGCCTGTCTTTTGTCGTCCTGAACATCCCGATACCCCGTGCCCGGGGCAGCCAGTCAGTCCCGCGATGTCCTCCGCGTCCCGGTCCCCACTGCATTGTTAGCCAGGCTGTCCCCACGGCCGAGCAGCTGCTCCCCGCCTGCACTCCCCGCAGCCTAAGCAAGCGAAGGGACTCCCCCGGGGAAAGGGGTTTGTAAAATAAAACGTTCACCTTCGAGAGAAAAAAAAACCGCAATTGTAGACGGGGATGGAGGAACGACCACTATGCTCCAGTTACTCCCGCACTAGCGCGTTAAAATGATGCACTGGAGATGTCCCTGCAGCCTCAGTGTGGAGGGTATGCATGCCTACCCCCGGGCAGACCCTCGGCAGGTGTCCCGAAGCATTTTTTTCTCGCCTTCAAGAGAAAGTCGGTTTCACTGCAACAGTTCCCGCTGAAGTTGCACCCCACGTGTTTATGGAGAGGGCTACTCACACTTGTTTCAAACAGGATTGTCTGTTTCAAAGCCTTTGTGTTTTCTTTTGTTGTTGGGGTTTGGATGATATCTTTGATTATTATTCGTTATTCCGGTTTTATTTTCGAATCAGTGACACAACCTCAAGACTGAGTAATAATTATTTACAGTTCTGGAAAGAGGTGAAAGAGACGTCCAAATGAGCCCCGGTTATGGAATTGGAAACCTTTATTTCCGTAGGCGTACAGGTACATATATGAAGCCAGCAACGATCTGAAGCCCAGGAGGAGAAAAACAACGTGTAAAGACACCATGGATAATTACAACGGTAACCAACCAGTTTCTCTAGTGCTTCTGAAGCACGAGCATCCCTCTCTTCAGCTGTTTTTCGTGCCTTGTCGGGTCACGTAGTGGTGCAGGATAATTAACCTTTGGCTTTTTCTCACGCAGTCCTTTGTAGCTTGATCATCTTTCTTCAGATCGCCTTCTTACCGCGGGGGTCCACCTACAATTTCAGCCTCTGTAACCACGGCAAGATACAGGAGGATCTACTAAACGTTTTGGATGCAGACACAACCTTTACACAAGAGGTTGGTGCTTTCTCTGGTGGCATCGGAGGGAAACTGTCGGGATGGCACTGCCTACACGTTTTTACCCCTGACCACTGGCAGCTACTTTCTGAAAATCTCGGTTAGCAAGCCGGGAATTGGCTAGTTTAGTAAGCCGGTACCTGTGAAACAGGACCTTGAAATTATGTCCAGCTCTCCTCCGGTGACCTTCCTAAAATGTGCTTCGCTGAAGCTGGGACTGGCAGGGACGGAGAGCTGGAGCCCGAGCGGCCGCTGCCAGAGCTCTACCCGACCCTTCCCAGCACCTTGCAGACCCCTAGGACTGAAAGTCGCTTGTATAATGCTTCACCGACGCTGAAGATGGTGTCACGGTTACAAAGGTGATAAGTGGTTTAGAAGCTACGCGGAGGGCTCACACGCGCAGCCGGCCCTCAGCTCAAAGACCAGGCAGTGTTTTTCGGGGAAAGCAGCCCTGCCGCTGTCTCAGGCATCGCAGCCTGGAGCTGCCTAGCGCAGCCCAGCAGCGGCTGCCCCGCACGGCCGCCGCCCGACCCCCGCAGCCGCCCACACCCTGCGAGGCCCCGACGGGGCGGGGTGCGAGGCAGGAGGGATGTCGATAGCAGGGTGCCCGAGACAGGCTGGCAGCCGGCGAAGCGACCCCGTGGGACGTGGCTTTAACACGCATCCCCTTTGTTGTTTCCTTCCAGGAGCTACAACTCGACTTTCACACCTGCGAGGACGCGCCCTCCGAGCCGGCGGGCGAGCAGCTGTCCGAGGTTCGCCCCGGAGCGCACCCTTCCCGGCGGCTAGGTGGCATTCCCTTTCCAAAAAAAAAAAAAAAAAAAAGGGAAGAGGGGGGCAAGAAAGGGAGAAAGGGGTATAAGGGAATGGGGGAAAGGTAAGGGGGAGAAGGAGGGGGAGGGGAGGACGGGAAAAGAGAGGGGGAGAGGAAAGTGAGGGAGAGGGAAAGAAAGAGGACAGAAGGGGGCAAGCATGAGGAGCTTTATTATATCTTTGGAGTGGTGGATGGGCAGCCTCTTTTTAGGGATGCATGGGGAGGCGCTGAAGGGAAAAGGAGTTAAGGATCGTGACCGGCCCTCTGCTCGCAGGAATCCAGGCGGGCGGAGCGAGCGGGCCGGCTGCTGGAATGCCTCCTGGAGCGGGCGCGGGGATGCGGGGAGCGGCCCGAGCTGTGGCGCCTCACTCGGTCCGTCCTGAAGCACCATTGCCCCGGCTGCTGCGCCGCAGCGGAGGGTACTGCGACAGCGCAGCGGGGCAGCCCCGGAGACAGCGCCGGGGGCGCCGCCGGGACGTCAAGCCCGGTCCCGTGCGACAAGAGCAAATCCCGGGAGCTGGTGGCGGTGTGGAGAAGCTACAACAACTTAGGATAGGAGGCCTGGGGGTGGCGCGGCTTTGCATTTTGCGTCCCCCGCCGGACTTCACTTGCATTGCCAGCCGTGCAGTCATAGCAACGGAGTCATCCTGCGGGTTGGTATGGGTTATTTTTAATACCATAATTTATTAAAAAAAACATGTATGTGGTAGTTACCACATACAAAACAAACACTACTACCACCACCACAAAAACTAAAAGCAGACACCTCGGGAAGTTCAGAGGCTCCAGATGCGGGTGTTTCGCGGGATGTGCCATCCGAGGTGAGCTCACCTCGCGCTCCGCTGCCGCCTCTGCGGCGGAGCCGCCCTCAACCGGGCCTGGTGCGTTGCGAGGGCAAAGGGGATAACGAAATGGAGAATAAAAGGGGATACGAAAATGAAGAATAAAAAGAGAGAGAAAAAAAAAACAGCAACAACAACAACAACTACAAAACAACGCGCAGTCGCGGCTGCGGGGAGTGCTTGTGGCAGAGCTGGCGGGGCGGGCGCGGGCCGGGCGGAGCAGCGCGGGGCAGCGCGGGGCGGGGCAGCGCGGGGCGGAGCAGCGCGGGGCCGGGCGGGGCGGAGCAGCGCGGGGC